GGGAAGCTTGAAGCTTGACAGGATCCAACCGGATTGGTGGAGACTTTCCAAACCTCCAAAGCCTCTGACACAACGTGGTTCAGCATGGCCCACACCTCTTCCCCATCATCCAACAGTGGATGTAACAGTTCCTGGGAAGAAGTGGATTCCCCCAGGCCACCAGGAGTAAGCATGGCCTGTACAGTCAGGGTACTCCCTCAATCAAGGTGTTGAGGTTCGGCCATTTTCCCTTTGAACATGTGGCAAACCCACTTTGGAGGATTGAAGCCATACACATTCCTACGTTTTAGTGTCACATAGTCACATCGACAACTTTGATAAATACATTCCCAATGAGTAATTAATTTCAACCTCCATGGCTCAACTTGGGGTTGCTCTACTCACTACTCCTCCTTCTTGTGAGTGATGACCAAGATCGGCAAATCGATCTTCTGCAGCTCACCATCTGTGACATCGATTGTCACCTGTGACATCGTGACGAGGATTGGCAAGCTCGTGACCATCTCCGGCTCCGAGCGAGAAGGTTCACCAAATTCCCTTCAGTAGTCGCTAAAACCCTAGGGTTCCAAGCACCTCCTCAGAAGGTAATTGGACCATCCAAACGCACCTCTAACACCTTCTCAGAAGGTACTTGGGGGGAACAGGGTAAAATTCCTTGGTGGTTCGCTACCGGAGACAGTGATGAGGATGCTGACTCGAAGTCATTGTTTTGTTGCCCTGCTATAAGCCTCAACACCGGGGGCATTCTGCTCCCACCTTATCACTACATCAAGTCAACCGCTATGCAGTACATAATACACATAGGTACAGTCGATTATAGTCTCTAGTAGTATAGGCCCAGCCTTTCTTCACAGGTGCATTGCCCCCGTGACCGCTTGGAACAGGAGCTGAATGATCAGAACATCGCTCTTGCACGACTCCCACACATATCTATATGCATCGTCTTAGCCATCTCAACCCAAACCAGAAAACACCAATGAGCACCCCTTGAAAACGGCTCTCTCTAATGAAACAAAGTGACATGAGCCGTATTCTGAACTTGAGAGGGTGTTTCTGCAATATCTATAATACTACTATATTTCTGTAGTTTTGGTATGGACACAATGCATTCGGATGGAGTACACTCAATCCTCCCATTTTAGGCGTCAGATGTCCAGCTTAAGTATGCAGCTTAAGTATGTGGAACAGTAGACATCAGAGGTAAGTGCATCACGAACAGGTCAACAATCTGTTAAGACGTGTCCTGGGTCACCCTTAACTTGTTAAGCCTGTAGGCAGTGACAGTTCCAAGTTCGGCATCAAGGTTTGGCTGAATCAGAAAAGACCATCACTGTGGTGTTCACTCTTGATTGATAAAGCATCCCATATGGAGATTGTTGGCCATTGATGTATCGGAGGTTTATCAATCAACACGTTGTGTGTTGTTGAAGATGTCTAGACAACAGTTGAAGGACGGCTGTTGAGTAAATTCTGGAACAATGGTGCTACAGTAAGGTGTACAGTGTATATTATATACATATACAATACATATTATATGCAGTTCTTCCAGTTCAAAAGATCTAGTGGGTTTGCATCCCGAACCGATCACCGTGAAACAGGGGTCTGCAAAAAAGTGAGAACAAAGCAAACACATCATCAAACATGAAACACACCAAACATGTTCTTCCAGTTCAACATGTTCTTAATTACATCGCCATGAAACATGTGGTCACAAACTGAACGTATTGTGGATGTTGGTCGGCCGACTGTGGAGAACTACACGTGCAAAGGCATGCGTGAGCAAAAACAGCTTCTGATCTAGTGTTTGCTGCAGCTGTGTGTTTTAACTTGTAGGTCTTAGGTAGGCTCTCGTGTGGAAGTCTTAGAGAACCCACGTGACCTGAGAATCATGCCGTAAGGTGAACCGTACCTTAATGAAAGTTCAAAGGAACCATGTCCTTTCAGGTTGTTGTATCTTAGAGTCTAACTCAAATTCGCCGGACCATAATGCAAAAGAATCCTCTATCTCAGTGTCTCCAGTCACCCTCAAACATGAGGTACGGTATGTCTAAATCCTGCTGTGGTATGTCGACCATCGAATGCCCCACACTTCTAGGATGTCGGGGGTGCAAACATGCAGAGCGCACCTGCTATCCCCCAAAACGAACCCCCCCCTTCCGAGTTCGGAGGCTTCCTGGACTCCCCCGACGGAACAACCCAACACAAATCTCCTGGCTCGTTGGAATTTTGTGGCCTCCAGGTTCGGCAGCGGCCCGAAGCGCGCCAGGACCCGTGCCAGAGCGTGGAGAGTGCTGCGGTGGCCTCAACGTCTCCCAGCGTTGGAAGGCACCTCCAAATCTGGGTGGGGTAGACACTGGTTTGAGGAGGATCCCATGCATTCCGCAAGCTGTCCTGACCAAGCGAATTCCAATTTAGACACATGTTTTCGTTGGTGTTATATATTGCGAATTCAACACGAAGGTGTGTCTTGCTAAGCTCTAATTTCTGCGTGTGTGCCAAGATCGAACCCGCTCATTTCTGGCCACACATGGCCACACCGTCTCGGGCCTTCATTGGCTGAATAGCTGGCTTCGATGGTTTTCTTGAAAAAGCTGTCAACGGAGGGCCCTGAGTTTCCACATTATTGATAACTAATCGAACTTGTAGAAACAGCACGGCCCTTTGAACGGACTTGTCTGGCAATCACGTTCAGAACTCGTCTTATAACTTGTAGTTTTGTTCTAGTATACATTATATCATTCTTCATTAGTCTATATACTATTATATCAGTATTGTATTATAAAGTATATATTATAGTATATGTGTTCTTAATATGTATGAACTAAGCAACTTCATTCTCGGTGCATTTCATGTTTGTCCTGTCTTTTCGAAATCATGCTCCCACCCTTTGGCAAATTGAAACTTCTCAACCGATCCGATTCAACGTGCTCGGAGAGGCATCACAAGACGTGGAATGCTAAACAAATGGAGGATGAAATATATCCTCGCGATCTGCTAGATTCTGCATGTTCAAAAGAACATCCTGGCCAATCCTGCACTCGAGGGGCGACTCTGATATCCTGGGAACATATCCAAAACGTATGCCACGCCATCCAGCACACGCAGGCGAATGCAGGCTTTCTTCCGGCGCAAGCAAAAGCCATCGTAGAGCGCCAAGGATGCATCATCCAGTTCGAGATAGCGCCCCAGGTCACGGGATATCTGCTCCTGGGCTTCATTGCATGGAACAAGGTGCGAAGTTGTATCATGCTGTGGTTGGCTGAACGCATCCGTGGCTCCTTAGACCCTACTAGAAAGGTGGTGCTGAAAAGGTGTGCTTTTTCAGGAAGACCGCCAGAACAACAGATTTTGGCGCCAGTCAACCAGTTTCTCTCGAGTTTCTCAGGTGGATCGAATCACACATCCAAGCTTCATAGATGCCCAAGGGCTCAAGAGCAGCACAAACACCAGGAACTGAAATACCTGAGACATTACCATGTGATTGGCCCTTGGAGCTAGGCAAGCCCCACGGGGTGGTATGAAACTCAAGCCAGGACAACCCTTTCTACTCACCGGTTGGATTAAAAGCTCGCACAAGGCAGCTCCGATGCTGTGATCAAAAACGTTTTTCTAGGAACAAGGACGCTACTAGGGGCTCCTGGCCATACTAATAGGAGCAAAGAAGCTTCTAGGGGCTCCTGGCCTTACTACTAGGAACAAGAAGCTATTGGAAACCAGAAATAGTATTGAATTACAATTTTAATTTAGTTTGAGAAGGTTCACGTCTGAGCTGTGAAGCCTTTCTATACTTTTTGCAGGCAAAAGGTAGCAACCCCAGGAAATTTTAGTGTTGCCCTGACCTGCAATCGCTGACATCTCTTCCAGAACGTTCTGTTTAAGCATGCACAGTTCTCCATGGAGTCAAATAATTGTGAAGGACACCAAACACCGCACAAAGTAGACCACCGCTTGTGATGACGTGAACCATTTCTTTCCAAGTACCACGTGCGAATACGGTCGAGATTAGCGCTGCACTGATAGCTCCAGCAAGTGACATTGAGTGGCTGTCATGCTGTCATTTGCAAAGGCTATGAACTTGATGTTTATGTAAATTCAGTCATGACTCCAAAGAAGGTGGAACCGGCTACACCAAAGCATACGCGTCCTCGATTGTCTTTGGCAGGCTACGGCTACTATAGCGTGCGTCTGGCCCAAAGCTTCAATCATTATGAATTGCACGACGAAAGGCACATTTAAAACATAATCACATCTAAGCAAGATTGACCATTCTGTGTAGATCTACATCAATGACCTCCAGCGCAGTATCATGGATATCGTAGGAGCCATTTGGCGGCAGACACCAATGTGCAAAGTTTTCACAAACCTGCAATCCAGTGCACCCTGGCACAATCATCATATTATCAACGAGGCACCTCAATGACACACAATTGAAAGAATTGTGCCAGCTCTAGTTTGGAGCCAAGGTTTGCCGAGCAATGTCATTGCGGAATTACATTGTCAAGTTAAATCCATGTAAGATGGTTTTATATAATTCACTCTGAGGTGGACACTCACCGGTACAGGTGATTGAGAAAATGCATAATTCCTCTACTGGCTTCTGCCAGATTGACCCATGCGTCTAGGTCAGACCCCATCTGTGGTGAGGACATCCAAAGCGACAAGAAGAGTCTGTTAAAAAACGTGAAAAGTAATATATGTTTTTGCTATACACGTACCATTACCTCCTTTCCATCACTAGATTCACTACCAAGAGCCTGCCAGGCGGTTCCTTGTGGGGGATGTTAACCCATTATCTCACGCCCTCAGTTTCGCTGGAAAACAAAGGTTAACCCTGTCCACCTCTTCATGTTTAGAGGGAAAAATCCCAACATAAAGGTGAACTGGAGGTTTTTTACCATGGATTTCCACTTTTCTTGGGTAGGATATCTAGCAGCACCCTTGCACTGTTTCCGCCATTAGCTTCTAAGTCACCCAGATATCGCTGTGGTGCTCCGCCCTGCCTGCAGGCGCCGCGCGAGGATGCCGTCTGTGACCACCTCGATGCGCGTCCTGCGAGCTCTCACCGGCGGGTGGTGAGAACACGCCAATGGGGAAGAAATGTCCTCAAAAACCCAAAGACTCCATGTCTGGAGTGTTTATACATTGACCCTTGAAACCATATTTTAGTGTAGGCACATATTCCAAACATGGAGTGTCTGGGATAGTATGACTCCAGCGGTTACAGTTAGAAAGTCCGAAAAATGGATCATTCGAATGATGGGGTCATCTGCTATGAAGCAAAGGCGAGAAACGAGAGACCACTTCTTATGTCTTCCCGTGGCACTCTATGTAATTAGCAAAATTGCAAAACATTATCAATTCCACCATCCTTTGAGTCCTCGCTCCGGCCCGGCCCCGACCGCGCCTGGAGGAGACGCATTTCTCGTAGCGTGTTCGATACCCTGTGGCAAAGAAGTGTGCGCAGGCAGGATGCACCCAAGGACTTGAGCTGCGACAATGATGATGAGGGGGGAGGATCAGAATCAGGATGAGTATGAGGATCAGGATTATGATTATCATGATTGCGATGATGATGTGATCTGTGGCCAAACACTTGACTTTCCTGCAGCAGGTTGAATGGAGAATTCCTTCTCCATCTCAACCTTGGTGATTGATTCCTGCACAAACACACACATTTAATGGCTTACTGCCAAAAAAAACATCAGAACCAAATCTTGCCCATCCTTCACCAAGACCTTGTGGAGTTCTCGGTTGCGTCATATGAGCCATTTCTTAGGGCCAGGCCAACTGTCTCCCCAACCTCAGAGTTCCCAGTGTCAATGGCATGCCATGATTGACTGAATAAGTAGGGATTGAACCACACCTGTAGATACCTCAGGATCCATTCCCTTTTATTCCTATAGGTGAAGACAAATATTCCATACAAGCCGAAACATTGCGACCAGTGACATTGACATTGGATCTCAGTTCCCAAATCAATAGCAAATCAGATCGCTTCTGTGACAAACTCAGAAAAAGTCGCCCAGCGCCTTTTTCCTCCGAAGCTGGGGGCGATGTCCGGCTGCCTTCCGTCGCCCATGGTCCGGTCAGCACCGGTCAGGAGCCTGGGAAAACGGGGTGGCTTTCCAGTGAGGAAAACAAATACATGTAAATGAAATGAAGAGGAAAAACCATTGGAAACCTGTTTTCCTCTCTTGTTTCGGAGAAGGGACATTCTTGCATGGACCAAATCTTGGGGCACGATTCTTGGTCATATCGCATCCAGTTTGCGTCCCGCACAGCAACGAGCCTAACAATCGATGGAAATATAACACTAACATACAAGTGCACTATACGCTCGTGCAAAAGTGTGCTAACCCCTTGCAAATCGCGAGCTGCCCAAATCCGTTTTCTTCAAAGCAGGGCATGGATAATTTATAAGTAACGAATGCCGATTGCCAAAATATCCTAGCTTCTGGCTCCATCATAAAGCATTAGCACAGACTGCACATTGGCAACAGGACATGGAGATACAAAGATACATGGAGAACTTCCGAAAGACTGGCAATCAGCTAAGACTGACTGCCAAGTCTAAAGTTCTTATCCTGTACACCAGCCCTCTTCGCTCTCCTCAGAGTCGGAATCGAAAAAGGCCGCATCTTGTGCCATCACGTGATCCAACACACGCATGGTAAAGGGAGACATGATCAAATCTTTGTGGTGGACTTTCCCTGCATTGTGCGTGTGAATGTGCACGCCTGCTGTCTTCCAGGCAGTGACCATGTTCTGAACGCTCTTGGCTGTGATGGTGTCGTCACCTTTGTCGCTGCGCGTGAATTTGGCCTTCTTGTACAAGTTGCTCTCAAACTCACTGATTGTAAGGGTGTCAATCCCGTCAGAGAACACCACATGCACTCGGCAATTGGGAGGCTTCAAAAATGGAACAACGTGTTGTTCGAAGCCTTGTCGCATGACGGCTGCGTTCTGGAACTGCTTCGTCCAAGTTCGGGGTGCGCTCAAGATGTCATTTTCCTGCAGCCACGTCTGTGTGTGATCATCGACATGGATGAGGTCTTCACTATCATCCTCGCATGCCGCTAGATCTTGAAGAAAACTCACGCAGTCCGTGGCACCATAACTTCTCTGGGGTGATGAAGCCATCTTTTCCCTAGCAAAGGGATCTATCCCTGCCATAGTGGTTGGCATCACACTCAGCAAGCCGGCCCAGGTGGAGGCCACGTCTCGAAGCCGCTGCTCGAGGAAGTTCACCACTGGGATCGCAGTGGAGTGCGTGATGGTGGAAGGGCCATTGGCATAGGCCGCAAAGACCGAAGGAGAACCCATCGTCGCTGGGCCCACGAGGACCACATCAGACACATGCGCCTGAGTCCAAGCAGGTCCAAGAAAGCCCATCATATAGGTGACGACCTGGCACACACTGTGACGACCTGGCTGAAAGAAAGGAATATATGTATACATGTTGTTTTCGCTACTCGTCGTACTAGAGTAACACAAACAGATCCCTACGAACGAACGGGTCAATGCGGATGGGTTCTGGCAGGGCACCTGAGCACCCAAGGAGTGCGCGATGATCACAACGGGCTGCTTTGACACGCGCACGGCATTCTCCATGTTCTCGCGGAACTTCTCCACATAATGTTCAATGTAGGTGAGATCGCCCCATTGTCTCCAATCATAGTTGATAGCAAAGAGATTGAAATCGTTGAGGTGCTCAATGACCGTATGCCACAGCTGGATTGGAGTGATCGTCGCCTCCGCGAGTCCGGGGTTCAAATTCCGGATGCCATCTAAGCCTTCCACAGGAGTCACAAGTATGTTCTCATATCCACAGGAGGTTTTCATCGTTTTCACCCCCCCTGGAGCTGGCTTCCTCCCAGCTGAGGCCCAAGGTCTTCACGATCGTTGGATGCTCAATGAGCTCACTGATGCTCACATAGACCAAATGTTCGGACACCGAATCCGCGGTACAATTGTCACACACAAAGGCGGCGGTGCCCTCGGCGGTTCGCCCCATCAAAGCACAGGAAGCAAGGCCATGAATCAAGACCACACTCTTCACACCTGACAGGGTTCTCAAAAAGAACCAACTTGTAAACAGAACCTCTTCTTGAGCTGAAACTTTTGCCTAGTATGGGTAAACGCGCCTTTGTCCGTGCTTGGGGGTTCTTGCCCGCTGTAGGCGTGCTTGTCCCCTCTAGGTGTTCTTGTCCTTTTGGTGGCAATACTCAAATAGATGAGGATCCACCCACCACTGGTTCCAGTGATGAGGCAAATTTGTTTATCAGGAATTCACTTGTTGTTTCACTTTTGCATGATTCTTGTGGTTCTGTGATGTTTTGTTGTTTGATGCTTTTAACGTATTTTTGCTAGGGGGTCTTCCTGTCACTTGGGCGTTCTTACCCGTTCCCCCTACTACAATCAGTAGTTGAGTGGACAAAGGAATGGTGGCCCTTGTTGGGGGAGTGAGTGAGCTGACATGAGTTTCAGATACTTTAGACCAGGGAGCATCAGGTGGTAAGCATTTTTTCCTCAGCATATGTTTAAATCAAAGCCTCCTGCAGGTAGTAATGCATGTGATTGTGCCTCGGCGTTTTGGACCCTCGAGGCTGCATCTTAGGTGTTCTTCAGGAAAACATTGCTAATTTTCTGCCTAGATGAAGTTGAACAGAAATTACAGGTCATAACTAATTAATGAGGTTCTAGGTATAAACCTGGAGTCTCAGTTCCTACCTGAGTATAATGGTATGTCTGAAGTATATAGTATGTTTTCTTTATGTTAGGGTCATGTGATCTCGTGTCTCCGTATATATAGTATATATAGTATAGTATATAGTATACCCTTTTCCAACGAACATGCAAATTCGGATTCGGTCCACATCGTCCCCGCCTTTCTCCAGGTGTTCACTCTCTGCGGAGGCTTGTTGACCCATTGAGATCGGTACCCAGCGGGGCGAGTTGCAACTCACTGGAGTCACTCTCCACGAGCCAAAAAGGCGTGTGACCGAAAAAACTTACAGCAACTCATGCCAACATGAAAGAGCACCTTTACATAATCAATCTCATAATTCGATATGCAAATCAACAAACCTTACTGCAGCAGTTGTCAACCTGTCAAGATTCGGCCTCGACCTGGGCGTCTGCCGGCAGCAGCAGAAAGCGATGTTCGGAGGCCGACACCTTTTGTTGGGCGCTCAGCTTCAGGGTGCAGTCATTGACACAAAAACTGCTCACCGAAGTGGAGGCCCTGCTGATCGGCGAGGACAACTTGCTAGACAATCAGCACGACTTTGATGCACCCGCAGCGGATCATTCTTGGTCGCGATGGAAGGATCGCCTGGCGTGGCATTCTTGGCATTCTGCACGACCCGGCAGTTCTACTTGGAGGCCATTGGAGACCTGTTTCCCTTCATGAGATGACGAGGGAACAATGAGAAGTGTAAAGCATGGGAAGGCCGTAGGCGTGTAAATATGTCATATACGGTAATATATGTATATACAATACAATACAGTATATAAAGATGCTGCGATAGATACAGAATTGTTTCTTGATCTGTTAAGCATGGGTGAATGAACATTAAAATATATTACACTTCTATTTTGTATTTTTCTATAAAGGGTGTGATGTGCACCCTGCACAGCAGCTGGGGTTCCAACCTTAGTTTCAGGTTCAGGAATTGCGCGGCGTTACATATTTCTGGCCGCCCTAACGCTAGCAATACTATTTCGATGGCAGGGCTTAGCGTTTTCCGATGCCTCCACCTTTCCGTGAATGCTTCCGTGAAGCAAAGCCTCACCCTGGTTCAGTTCCAGCAACAACGGGTGTGGCCAAACCAGCCAGGCCTCAACAGCCGTTCGCCACCCCGGGCTCCGCCGCGCGTGCCAGGTGCTGGAACCTATGTTCTGCGGTTCCTGCGCCTCGCAAACGTCCAAAGTCAGAAGAAAAAAACCATCTGCCGATCTTACAGGGTGAGAAACACAACAGCAACAAAAAGCCACCTAAGAACTGATGAGTTTCTAAGAAAAGGTTAAGTGACCTTATAGGACCCTACCGGGGTACCGATGGGATAGTCTACAGGCTGGGTTCTTCAACCTCTTTTGGTTTGCTTCGAACCAACGCGACCGACGCTAACTGATGAGTCCTTCACCCCCGGGTATTTCCACGTGTTCGTTTTAGTTGCGGGCTTTTGGGTGGAACCGTTGAAGGCTTTCAGAGTGCCCCCCTGCAGTGGGTTTTTTCGTTTGGAAAGCTTTTTGACATGTCATTGTAAGACCTATTTACCTACATTGGGCTGGTTTTAGGGGTCCTACACTTACACCATGGATGGTTTTGGGCTTGGAAAGGATCATGAGTCGGACAGGTCGGATGAACTGCTCGGCAAAATGAAAGCTGTTTATATAGCTTTTGCTTGTGTGCAGTGAGGTGAGTAGAAGCGCGTTGCGAAGTTCGAAGAGGTCATTGCATCCGAAGTTGCAGTGTGACGAACAAAGCAAGTCGATGTGTCTCAAACTGCAGGCCTAACCAAACAACCGGATTTGCACCTCATATCGACCTAGATCACTGGGTGTGGGGGGTCTTTGGTCAGGTCATATAGAATCAAACATGCTTCATTGTTGTCAGCTTGTTCCTTTCTTATTAAGGACCTTGGAGATCTGCAGTCCTTATCAAAGCACACCTCCGTCAGCAAGATCAGGAGCTGTTCTTTTGCTTCCTCTTATATTTGTGTTGTGTAACAATTCTTCAGTGAAACTTGCGCCACCGGACATCCACTGAATCCTTGCGCATCCTTGCCTTGGTCAAAA